TTCGTTTTGCAATTTAGTCTTGCTATTTCTAAATATAACACTGCATAATTTGTTTTACCTCAAAAACAACGATAGACAGACAGACAGACAGACAGACAGACAGACAGACAGACAGACAGACAGATAGATAGATAGATAGATAGATAGATCTCTCACTGCCTTTTGTACGTGAAGCTGTTCGAACAAAAGTCTCTGGTGCCATCTAGCGTCTCATTGAAAATATCATACATGGCCACATCTAGACTGTTCATAATGAGAGGTGAAATGTCAGCCTTGCGAGAATATAATAGTTTGTGATTTCCATCTTTTTTTTTTTCTTCTTTTTTTTTTACTGTTGATTGTTGTGTTTGAAACGACAACAAAACAGACTTACTGGACAGACAGACTGACTCTAATTTGTTCCTTCACTTTTTGCAGTTGTGGTGGAAATAAATATGCTCCCAAGTACCCAGTCTTACTATGAAGCATGTGTTGATTGCTTAGGTCATTCAGTCGAAATGAGAAATATACTGAGACTTTGGACAGAGCAGCAGCGTGTTAATCGATTCTACATCTTTGAATCCAGCGTAAGTTCTCAGAATCTGCTCTTTCCGTCGACACTGACAAAGAACAGTCCCACGTACTGTTTAATTAATGAACACGAAAAAGAACAATGTCCTATAAAACGTTCAAAGATGCGCGCTTGCGAGGACACAAACAGAGGAGCGCTTATATCCACTTATATCCTTGTGGGGCCTATTTCTGTCTACAGTGTGGAAACCACTGCTCATATTTTCTTGGTCCCCACTTTTGGTCAGGGTTAGGTATCTGATGATTTGGGTAAGGGCTAGGATGTAGGAAATGAATGGAAATTAATATAAAGTCCCCAAGGCACGAAACTGTGTGCGTGCGTGCGTGCGTGCGTGTGTGTGTGTGTGTGTGGGTGTGCGTGGGTGTCTGTGTGTGCGTGCATGTGTGTGCATAACGAATCATTTATGGAGAACCCACATCGATTTTTAAATCACAAGCGCAGCGGCTGATGAATCCTCATTTTATGTAGAATTCCAAATTTGGGGGTTATTTAAATAAATGTTTGTTTATCTTCATGAAGGGATCCTGCGCCAATGTCCACAATTATTATTATTATTATTATTATTATTATTATTATTATTATTATTATTATTATTATTATTATTATTATTATTATTATTATTATATGTTTTTAAATTTTTTTTCTTTTTTGAAAAAAATAATACAAGCCTGCAGAGCAGCATTCATTCCAAGTTAACATTTAACCTTCGGTACGCTTGAGAAGCTGGAGGGCTGCTCCAGTTGCTGATCGTCCGGTGAAGTGATCCGGCGCAGGAGTTCAGGGTGATGCAGATGAGGCGCTCAGCCGCTTTTCGCTGCCTGGAAACAATTTATAAATTAAGACAAAACAACGCGCAAGTAAGCCCGTTTCTGTGAGTTTGTCATTAACTCACGTAGGCGAGGTCAGTTAGAGGGGCCTCTAACACACACACACACACACACACACACACACACACACACACACACCTCTTCATTGAAGTGTATTGATCCTTCTTTCAGCACTATGGAATCTTGTTTTGTGTTGGCCACGATAAAAAATTTATTCTCACACAGGTCGGTTTCTGTTAGTGTTTCTCCCTTTAATCATAAAATTTAAGGAAACGAGTACATTTCTTTTAAAAATGCATAAATAGACACATAATTCGACGAATAATATGAGATATTGTGGAAGATATATAGTGGAAAACATCTCTGCAGGGAGAAAAGTGCTGCAGCTGATATGAAGCAATCTGTTCAGTGTATGCATGCATTCCTTTGAACTGAACATTTATCCATCTGCTGCTTCCAGCGGCTCTGTTTTCACTTCGCCGCCATCTCTCGACTTTACAAGGAGTCATAAAGAGCAATAAAGCCATAAAATCTCCGATGTCTTGCGCACACACACTAAACACACCCACGCACACACACGCGGGAGAAAAGAAGAGCCATAAAGCCATAAAATAGAGGTCCGAGTCTTTTAGCTTTAATTGTCACTGTTCTCTGAAGTTTCTCACATTCCTGGGCTTCCTTCAGCGGTCCTCAGATGTTTACACTGAAGTTAACACAGACACATACGTCTGATTTACTGCGCAGAAATACAACCAGCTTAACAAGTATATCCGTTGAAAAAGCTGAAACGTTTGGGCTTATTATCATCCTTGGAAGTTTTGGGAGTCCAGAGCAGACTGTCTCTAAATGTAGATCCACAAAGAGCAGCAGCTTCACGCTAGAGGCTAAATATTGGCGGTTTCCCACACTGACCGCCTCCAAAGTTTTCACATGTGCGTAGCCTCCTTGAATACTTTGATACATTTCAGAAAGTACAAGCATGACAGAGTTAAATATTATGTGGAAATTCCACGCATGTACAACAAACATACAGTACATTGACAAGACTGTAAACATTGAAGCGTTTTTATTCTCTTAATATTGCACACGTTCCAGTCTAAACCAAGGAAAAAGGCCTGTTACAAAAACATGTTATGGCTGAACGTTTCTCAGGATCTTACATAAGAAGATGTAAGTAAATCGTAAGCCAAGGAAAATGCAGTTTGAGCCCCATCCACAACAATAACAATAACAATAACAATAACAACAACAACAACAAGAACAACAACAACAACAACAACAACAACAACAACAACAACAATAATAATAATAATAATAATAATAATAATAATAATAATAATAATAATAATAATAATAATAATAATAATAAAAATAGATACAGCTTGTTAAGGTAAGATATTATCAGTGACAAAGCAAAAATATGAAAACCATAATATTTACTCTGCTTCACTTATATATAATTTATTGTAAAGAAGAAGCTGCTGTGCTGGGTTAAACGGCTCTGCGTCGATCTGAAGGAAAAGACTGCCTGTCTGAAATGAACACGGCAGCACGATGAAAGTATTTCTGAAGAGTGGTACTGTATGTTCCCCGTCCGCTGGAGATACTGAAAACACGTGGTGTGTTGGTGCCAAAAGCTCCAAACTGCTTGCAGAAAGATCCATTTCTCTGCCGTTTGATGCTTTTTGCCCCCTGTCCAACACACCTGCGACGACACACAACAGTCTGCACTGAAACACCACGTGTCTCTTCAGCAGTAACTACAGTCCATGAAATAAGAAAGCCGCACTGATTGCAATGCTTTTAAATGAAAGAATCTTGTTTTGAAAACCGGTTTAATGAGGTTATTGTTTAACCTGATTCTGTCTGAACATCAGCAGCTTTAAAGTCAGCAGCAACAACAAACCAAACATCATTCATCGATTGAGGACATCTTTCGTGCTTTTTATATGATCTGTGATCTGTATAACTGGGTCAAAAACTTACTTAACAATTTATAAAATTAGTTTGCAAACTAATTTTATACATTGTTATGTTTGAACTAAACCTCATGCAAGGTAAGTTTATTTGCATAACACATACAGGTAAAAACAAACAAAAAAACATAAGCAACAAAAATTACATTTTCTCAAATGTCATAAAACAGTCAAAAATCCTCATATTAAAATATTGGAATGAAGACTAGAATTAATGAAAGTTCCAGTCATTATTAATAAAAGTCAATTATAGATACCTGGATTTTTAACGTTAATTTAAATTAACTCAATGTTCTACTATTTTCGCCGTGTTTTTGCAGTTTATTACAGATTAGTGACGCATAAAAACTGAATGATGCCTCTCCATGCCGACTTGCAATTATAGCCTTATGCGACAGACCTGTTAGGTTTTTTATTTGTTTTGTTTTGGAGAAACTTTGGTTAATTTTTGCATGTTGTGGCCTGTTTGTAACACGAGAAAAGCCACGCAAACAGCATTTGTAAAGTTGCTCGTGAAGTTGAAAAAGTTATGATTTAGACCCATTCGATTTTTGTTTTCGCTGTTTGCAAAAAAAGTGACAAGAAAATATAAAGAATAAGTCATTTCTAAATCAATTAAAATTAATCTATATATTAGTTTTCCAACAAAAGAGTCATCCATCATTTTTTCACTTTTTAATTGATGATTCATTTGTTGGAAACACTTTGAGATGTTGGCCTGTTTTTATTCTGTATGTCCGATGATTTATTTCTTCACACCACGTTAACTTTTTAAAATGAACTTCACTGCTTGTTTTCGTCATCACCGTAAATACTAAATTAGATGTCGGAACATAGGACTATGTGGAACCTGTTCCGAGTTTTAAAATGACCCACCCGACCGCTTGATATGCCAAAGTCACTAATGCAAAAGGATTACAAGGATACAATAACAGTGTTACCGTCCTATGTCTGTCCCCCGACTGCAGGCCATCCCTGTCCTTTTCCAAGAGTCGCTGCTTATCAATGATTAGACCCCAGTCAGCTCCAAAACAATTTGGCTGCTTCCCGTTCCCACAAAGCGGGGAGGAAACAGAGCGCCCTGCCGGTAGAGAGGGAGTTCATCTTCTTTGAAAGAGGCCAGGAGAGGGGAGGTGGAGGTCAAAAAGTAAAAAGTAAGTTAAAAATAAAGGTTGCAATTTTCAAATTCAGGTGGTCCAGCAAGAAACACGAAAATTAGGCTGAAGTTATTCAGCTTCCCAGCCATCTCTGAATGGCGTCTTTAATAAGAACTTGGCTTCTTGAGAATGCACTGGGTGGGAGAGTAAAGTAAAAGCAAAAAATAGAGTCTTTGTCTCGATTTATCAGTCGGACTGTCTGTAGTTTGGCCACGGGGACAAGCCGCAGCCTGTGGAGGAAACAAAGAGACACAGAGAAGAAGATTTATTTATGGTTGCGGTTATTTTACAACCTCACTGACACACATTCGGCTTGAAAGTTTCTTTCCATTTTTCCTTTTTTCTTTCTTTCTTTCTTTCTTTCTTTCTTTCTTTCTTTCTTTCTTTCTTTCTTTCTTTCTTTCAACAAAGAAGAAAATTATCGGTGTCTCCTTGAGTGGTGTGTGTGCTGTGTGTGTATGTCTGTGTGTGTGTGTGTGTGTGTGTGTGTGTGTGTGTGTGTGTGTGAGTGTGTGTGTGTGTGTGTGCGTGTGAGGTGACTCGGTGGTGTTAATGTGCATTGTATATGTACGAAACATAGTTTTTTAAATTTTATTTAAGTTTTAATTTCGCTATGCTGAGTTCAGACAAAACAAACATCTGAAGCACGATGAAGTCTAAAATATGGCAGTCTAATCTTTAACTGTGAAGGCACTTCCATGCACAACTCCTGAAAACATAAAAAACATTAATTCTCACTGTTAAAATAATTATTATTTTTCAGACCTCAAAGTCAACTATAGATAAATAGAATGCAAAATGTTCCTCTTATGTGCTTACATTCTCATTTATACGTTAACTAGAGGACTTCAATTCAGTAATTTGAACATTTCTCTTGTTAGATTCTAGTATATACCTTCGGGTAAATTGCTTGATTCCTTTGCCATTTAAAAGAGTGCTGGTGTAATCAGTGTCATTGAAACGAATAAAAAATTGATTTTTCTGTTTCTTTTCTTCTCCTCTTACCTTTCAGACTAATCAGTGTCACAGCTCAGGAACATAATCATTCACAGCACACATAGATCACATATAACCAATTCTAAAAACTGAAGCGGAAGTTTTTGAATCAATGTCGCCTTCAGACAGCAGAATATGGAATAGACAGCGAATTCTTCTGAATTATATTCAGAAGATTGCCATTCGATCGGCATTTGTTCTGATAAAGAAAGAAGAAAGCTTGTGGAAGAGGACACACACGTAGAGTAGCGGGGATGTAAATCAACCCAGCAAACAATCAAAGCCCACCAATTACAAACAGTCAAACGTCTAAATGACAGGAAGGGAGAAGAGCCTCCATTCTAAGCTAACTTAGATCCCTACAAACAACATGCAAACATACAGGATGATACACGAGTCGTGTGCGGTCCAGCATGTTGTATTCATACAACAAATTAATTCTGACGCGATGTGTTGGCTATTATCCACAAAGTGAAAAGGATATGTGCTCAGTTTCCTCTGGTGGTGAAGCTTCAGCCCAAACATGCACACACACGGTTGTACTGGCAGGCGCTGGCTGCGGTTTTTATGGGTCCAACATCAGATGAAGGACGACACACAAGAGGAGATACGATCAATTTAACGCGCGGACAATTCCGCTGTGATTGCACAATCTCACCGGGAGCTGCAGGAAGATTAGAAAGAGAAATGAAATGACAATTAGAAAGGGAGAACGGGAGTGGGAGATTGAAGTAGGGAAATAAGAAAAAAAAAAGGGGCGGGGGAGGGGGGGGCGAGTGGGTCGCGGGAGTTCCCAGGCCCCCTCCTCTTCCTCCTCCTCTTCTCTCCCAAACGAAAGGAAAAATGAGGTGAACTAATGCCATGCAGAGGAGCTTCTCATTGGTCAGTGTTTGGTCAGCTGGTCTCTGACTCCCCCTATGCTCCTCACCCAATTCCTGTGACATACACACACATAGTCTCTTTCTTGCTACCGAGCCCCCCAACACACTATACCAAAGCACTGGCACCCAGCCACCCCAGCTTCACCCTCCTCACCCCTCCTCCCAATCTGCGATAAACTCAGTGATAGCAGCAGCAGCAGCCCGTCGGACTCTGGGCTATAAAACACAACAAATCATAAAGTGCAGGCAGGGAAGGCAGAGGAAGGAGGACGGGAGGAAGAACCGTTAGTCTCGGTCTACTCCTCCTTCTTCTTCTTTACCGCGTTATCATTGTTGTTGTGTTTGTTTCGTGCCCTCCTGTGCTTCCCTCTTCTCTTCTTTTCCTCCTTCTCCTTTCCCACTTTTACCAATGAGTTCATATTTTGTAAACTCCTCTTTTCCGGTGATACCGGGAACGGGTGGAGGCGGCCAGACGACGTCGGCAGAACCATTCCTTGGTCAGATCTCACTTTACTCATCGGGATACGCAGACCATCCGCTCAGACACTACCCAGGGGCAGCGACTGTGACTGCGGCCGCGGCCGTGGCTTACAGCGCTCACCAGGATAAATCTTATCCAGCCTCTACCTACTACCAGCAGGCTGCGAACGGAGCGTACAGTGGGCACCGAGTGACGGGGGTGGCAGTTGGGGGCTCGACTGGACCTGGTGCATGCGACTACGCCACAGCAGCAGCGGCGGCTGCCGCGGCGGCCACGAACTTCTACCGAGACAAGGATCATCCCTGTAGTCTGGATGAACACCAACTTGCTCTGAACCAAGACGGCATGCATCGCAAAATGGAGTGCGCTGGGCTCGGAGCAAAGGGGTTATTTGGAGAATCCATGGATGACAAACAAACAGCACCAACTCCAATTTATCCGTGGATGCAGCGGATGAACGCATGCAATGGTGAGTGTTCTCTTCTTCTCTGTTAAACTGACGTTTTGTTTCCTCTGTCAGCCAGCCTTATTCCGTCCTCTTCCTCCTCCTCTTACTGGAGCTGCTTTATAAAGCTCGTTTGTAGGCTTACCAGTCAGTCAAGGCATTGATGTTTTATTGTCCATCATAAAACTGGTTTGTTTGGCTCAACGTCGCAGTTACTTTGTGACCTATTGACTGACGCAGCTACCGGGCAGGGACAGCTAACTTAAAGCTGTTAAAGCTCAGTCTGGCAGGCATTGTTTTCAATGAGGGACAGGAGGAGCACCAAATATTGTCATTTGCTCAACCTATTTGCTTCTTCCTGAATGGTACTATTTAGAGTATTTTAATGTGTAAATTGCAAAACATTTCTTTTTTGTCAAAAAATAATTCTTTAAGAGAACAGTTTTTCTTCCGGTTGTTTAAAACAATTCCTGTTTTTGATGAAAAAAAAAAAATCCTGAAATTCAATGATGCAGCCCCCAACCACACACTACCAAAGCACTACTAAATATAATGAATCCCTGCATCGTGTACTGATTATTCAAAACAGGTGCGACGATCGTTTCACTGCATGGGAAAATGCAGGACTGGTAGTGACAGCTAGGTCAGGGTGTTTTTTTTTATATCAGTCTTGCTCTTCAGTGTTGCAGGAAGTACATCAAAGCTAATGTGCTAATGCTGTCCTGCAATTTACAGATTTATATTAGTAAGAAGGAAAATGGAATATTGAGTGTCGATTAAAGAAAAGTCAGTGGGTCCTAGCTGCTGTTGTGCTCGGTCCTTCAAGAGATCCTTAACTGGACAGGACGTGGAAAAAACATCAACTATATGAAAAACTGTAAGAAGAGAAAATCTAGAGGTAATTAGTAGTCTAATGTAAAGTTAGATCTAAAACGAAATCCACAAAAAAGAAACAGGCTATCTGTGATTTAAATTTTATTTTACATGTTTCTGTTACAACGGTGTGATTTTCCACATGTTCTCCCTCTGATATATTCAAAATCAAAATGTTGATCCCTCTTTAGATAAGTAATCTGAAGATTTAGAGTATTGTGGCTTGAACATTTTTCAGTGTTATTCTAAATAAAAATAACTACATCTTCTGTTCTTAGTATCATTAACAGAAGAAACATTGAACTGATTCTTAAATGATTAATAGAGAAAGGTTTATATTTAACCGAAATCAAGTACCCTTGTCAGCGAAATGCGCCATGTGTATAATTTTTGGTTTAAATACTTAAAGGAATGTAACTCCTCTCGTGACTTTGTCTCTTTTTATCTGTTAGGTACCTTCGGCAGCCCCGGAAGACGTGGCCGGCAGACATACACTCGCTACCAAACCCTGGAACTGGAGAAGGAATTCCACTTCAACCGGTACCTCACTCGGAGACGGCGCATCGAAATTGCGCACGCGCTCTGCCTCACTGAGCGTCAGATTAAGATCTGGTTCCAGAATCGGAGAATGAAGTGGAAGAAGGAGAACAAGCTCATTAACTCATCTTCTTCCTCCTCTTCCTCCTCTTTCACTCTAAATGGTACAGATGAAGAAGAGAAACGGACGGAGTGAAAGAAAAGAAAATGACGTGAGACATTAAAAGCAAGAGAAGGATGGAAGAAAATTCGTGCTCCAATGTGTTTGTTAGATGTGGACATTTTGTGAGCCCACCGCTCCATTCGTTTCTGTCTGACAGCTCAACCGTGTGGATAACAAAAAGGACCAAGATGCTTTACTTTCTCCAAAAAGGACGAAGATGCTTTACTTTCTCTAAAATGAGTCACTAAACGTTCTTCTTCTTCTTCTTCTTCTTCTTCTTCT